GTGGAAATGTGGCTGGACCTCTGTCTGGACAGGATGCTGGAAAAATCAGCAGGTGGCTGGCTTAAGAGGCTGTCCCTTTGGACATCCTTTTCCTTCTCGGCTGGGGTGAGGGGGAATCTAGGTTTTATGGATGTTTATTCAATTTAAGGGGCCCTCCTAAAAAGAACGCAAAATTACCCAATCCAAACCAGATGAGAACACGTATATTTGTTTAGAATGAGAACAAATAAAAAAATTCCAAGGATGACAAATACAAAAACACGCCCCTATGTGACCACATTGTCAGAGCTTCTCTTGGCCTCGGAAAGTCCCTGAGCTTCTGTTTCCTTCGTCTCCAGGTAGATCACCTCTGTCCTTCACACTGACCTTGATCGGAGTCAGTGGAAGTCTCTGATCCTTATTCTAGGGCTTGGTGCCGCCCACCCAAACTGGGGAAGGGGCAGTATTAGAGAAGCGCGCTGTCTAGACCGCTGCTCCGAGGACAAGGGTTCACAAATGTGCTGCCTCCCCAGATGTCCGCGGCGGGGGAAAGGCGAGGAGCCTCCTCTTCGGGGACCGCGGCGAGGACAGAAGTCCGAGGCGTCCACTCTCGGGGGTCCATGGCGGCAGACAGTGTCCGAGGCTCCCTCCCGGAGGTGCGGAGCCGCGGACGCGCCACCTGCTGGCGTCGGAGCGTGGGGCTCGAGCGGTCTGGTTGCGTCACCTGCTGGCCGTTCTGGGGAACGCGGTCCAGCCGCCGGACACCGTCCCAGGGTCCTGGTGGGAGCGGTTCCTCTTTCGGTTTCCCCCACCCTATGAAGCTCCGAGTCCCCACCCACCTGGCAGCACCGGCCAGAACAGGTTGCCCTTCCCTGGGCAGCGCTCGCTCTCGCAGCCCCCAGGCTCTGCGGGAATTGGGCCTCCTTCATCGTTGACCTTTCCCCATGTCTTTGGCTGGGTCATCTTGAGAGAACTGCTTAATGTTCTAGAACAGAAGTTCAGTTTCTTCTTCTGTTAAAAAAAGGTGGGGCTGGAATCTAACAATACCATGTGCTGGGCTGATGCACAACTGGATAGGGCGACCTCCACGGCTGCTGGGGCAGCGCCTTCCAAAGGCTTTGGTCCAGGTGCCTGGATGTCAGAGATGCACTGTGCATCTGCACCGGGAGGTTCTGCCCCCTGAGTCGGAGATGCAGTAGGTGATCACCGAAATACTTCCTTCTGCCTCCAGTCCAGGAGCTTCCGGGCCACTTCCAAGTCCCCTAATTCCCCACGCTGACTCTAGCCAAGCTGAAACCTTGCAGCCATTCCTAGAGAGCCCAGTGCTGCTGGGAAGTTTGATCATGAGCCCCCAGGTGAGGCCCGGCCCTGCAGAAAGCAGGCTCCCCTGATCACCAAGACATAGCCTGAGTTTGGAGAAGACAGAGGGTTAGCTCTTTTGGGGACAGGATCCATTCCAGTCTGCAGGAGGCCTTCCTGGCCGGACTACCCCTGCAGTGTGCTTTCCCCATCCAGGAGACCTCATGCCTTCCCCCAGGTGACTGTCCCCATCGGCTGGTGACACTCAGGGAGGCTGTGAATACAGCAGTTAGAGCAGTGGTTTTCAAGCTTGAGAAATGAAACTTTTTTTTTTTTTTTTTTTTTAAAGATTTTATTCAGCGAGAGAGGGAACACAAGCAGGGGGAGTGGGAGAGGGAAAAGCAGGCTTCCCGCTGAGCAGGGAGCCCGATGCGGGGCTCGATCCCAGGACCCTGGGATCATGACCTGAGCCGAAGGCAGCCGCTTAACGACTGAGCCACCCAGGCGCCCCAAGACAATGAAACTTTCTTAATCAAACATCAGAATCCTCTGGAAGGCTTGTGAAAACTGCCAAGCTCACTGTCCAGTATTTTGGTCCAGGAGGTCTTGGATGGAGCCTGAGAATCTGCATTTCCAACAAGTTCCTGGGGGATGCTGATGCAGGTGGTCCACTGAGAACCACTTAGAGTCAGATTAGACCTGGGTGTGAATTCTAGCTTTGCCACTTCCTAGCGGTGAGTCCCTGAGCTAGTTACTCGGCCTCGGCTTCCTCACCTGTAAAATGGGCACCATTCTCTCAGCACTGCAGGGAATGTTATATAAGATGGTGCACATGAGGACTCAGCTCCGGGCCTGGATATGGTAGGTGTGCGGTAAATGCTGGCTGACCTCCTTTGGCACCTAGTCCTGCCCTCGGTCCCCCTATATGTATGCGGCTGACACTGCAGAGCAGGCTAGGAAGATGACAAGGGAGCAAGAACACTGATGATGGGGACCCTGGGGGCTCAGTTGGTTAACAGTCTGATTCTTTATCTCAGCTCAGGTCTTGATCTCAGGGTCATGAGATTGAGTCCCTCATTGGGCTCCACACTGGGCATAGAGCCTACTTAAGAAATAAGATTAAATTAAATTAAATTAAATTAAATCTAAAAAACAATGATGATGGAAAAAGACACCATCTTTAGCAGGGCAGACCTGAGTTTGGAGAGGGCCCAGCTACAGTACTGTAACTAAGGAAGGGATTAGAGTGGGTGCAGTGGGAGTGTGGGGGAGACTGTGGTGATCACTCCCAAGAGTCAGGGGTCACTACCCAGAGGAGGTGCCATGTGCGCTGAACCTCAAAGATGAGTCTTCATCTATCCTGGATGAGAGAAAGGCATTCAGGCCAAGAGAGCAGCTGGTTCTCAACTCTGACCACACACTCAATCACCCCAATACCCCACTACCCAGGTGGCACCCCAGACCAATGACTGAGTCTCTTGGAGAGGGGAGAGAGACGCGTGAATTCTTTGAAGCCCCTTGGGTATTAGTGTACAGGCTAGGTTGAGAACCCCCTAGCAAATCCTTGGAGGAATGAATTCACATTCCCGCACAGGGATGCAGAAATAAATAGCTCAAGGTGGCTGGAATATGGGGTGCATATGGGCAAGAAATGAGGACCAGGAAGGCATGCTGGGCCATTTCCCCAGAACCGCAGAACACCCACTGGCAAGTGCAATAAGCAAATGATCGTGATGCTTAATTTACATGATATGTATCCCTAACAAACTGCATGTTTGCATTCGAACAGGACTTGCTATTGCCTCCAGAAGGGAGTGGCTGAGAAATTCGAAACCACCTGTAATTACCTCCATGCTTCTAGGATGTACCTGATTAATCTTTGGAATCCTCTTTGAGAGTGGAAAGTAACAATCACTCCATAAATGTTGGTAGAACTGAATGAACCTTGAATAGCCCTTTGGTCCGGTCGTGTGCTCTCATTTGAGTGGCCGGTCTGGATTGACCTTTGAGTTCAAGGGGTTTTGCTGCACCTGGGCCGCTGTGATTTCAGGGATGTCAAGAAACCCCGTAAAAACCCTCATCCTGGTGAGCTGCTGCCTGAAATCCCACTTTCGGTGCTTTTTGTCTCTCAGTGGTTCTTGCTTACACCTTGCCAATTCCCTTTCCTGAGGCAGGTCTTAAAGTGTTGAAGGGGCAGGAACCTCATAGTTGTGGGGAGGAGGAGGAAAGATCCAGAAAAGAAGACCCGAGGCCCCTCTGAGAGCTGTCCCTTGGCGGTGACCTGAACCTAAGGCAGAATAGAAAAGGTTCAAAAGGTAGGTGCTTCCTTTCCTTTCTAATTGGAACCTCCTGGCACTTTTTATTGGTTTTTGCAATTTTTGTGCTATACCCTGGAGCAAAGTTCATCACTTACCCAGGGACTCATTTTGTGAATTACCAGATTTCCAAGATTCTCTCAAAGAAGTTTTCCAGAAACGTTGATTCTCTCAAATAAGACATTTCTCATAACCAACCGAGGAACTAGGAAGACTTGTACTACCCCAAGCATGTCCACACACTGATTTGTTACATCCTCTCCCCGGCTGGGCTTCCCAGGAGTGACTCTGAGACAAGGATTTGTGTGCAAGTGGGTCATTTGGGGGTGATCTCAAGAGAAATGGAGAAATGAAACCGAGATGAAGGAGGCCAAGGCAGGCGATGTGGATGAGCAACTGAGGCTCCATTCCACTGGGGAACTCGGCAAGACAGTGTTGGATACGACCCAGAGTCAGCCCGTGGGAGGGGCAAGCAGCTGGGCACCATCCATCCACCTGTTCCTGTTAGTTGTTGATTGAGGGGTACGCCCAGGAGCGCTCACCCGTTGGCACTTCTAGCCTGCCCCGCATAGGCCCGTGCTTTAGTGACTAGGGACAGTTCTCAGGCAAAGGAAGCTGGAGTGCCAGGGCATAAGAGTGGGGCATCTACAGCATCTGCTATATAGCTCAGCTCATTCACATGCCAACTCAATCGGGAACAGCTCAGGAGCATATCCCCCTCACTGAGCGCCAACCCTCTCCTGTACCAACCATCCACCTGGGCATCAACATTTGCACACGCCTACTCTCTCAGGAGGCGCCAGCCCTCCACCCTAGAGACAACACTGGTCTACAGAGAATCTGGCAGTTGAAATAGCCCAGGCCCCTGAGAACACAGGTGACAATCCCACCCTGGCCTCAGTGCATTTTGGGTGGGCCAGGTTTGGGCTGACCTTGCACACATCCATGAAGCCATTCAAGAAAAGAGGTGGTTCAGACTCACTCTGTTTCATCAAGGGTGAACAGGCAGTAGCTCGGGAAGATGTTAATTGAGCTGAAAGTACAAATTGCAAGAGCAATGGTAATTTTTTTTCTGGTGACTCAAGAAAAGCTGTGACATTCATAAGGTGCTTTCATCTACATCAGGTGGGACATTTGAAAAATGAAGGTGGGGCTCCAATTAACCGGGCTTTGGAGGATGGTGATAGTTTTTGTCTGACGTCTTGATATGAAGGGCATTAGCCATGTTTCTGCAGGGCCTCAGGACCAAAATCAGCCCACATGCAGGATTTGTCTCTAAGCCCCAAGGTCTCAGGGGACAGGCTGCAGGGACACCAGTTCCAACTGGTGTTCCAACCCTGGCCCCCAACAGACAACGCAAGGAAACCAGCTCAGCTGGTGTTTGTCACACAAGAGATGGCAGAGATTTCACTTATTAACAGGGTGGTAAAATACCCCTTTTGCAAAGAACAGCACGAGATTTTTGTAGATGTGAATCAGCCTGTTTTGCACCAACTTGAAAGTGATGCACGGGATGGTGAGAGTGATGCACACGATCTCCATCCCAATGATGATATAAATGGAGAAGAACAAGAAGAAGTGGGGGTGTTCTAAAATGGTATCCCCGAACCCAATGGTGGTCAGTGTGACGAAGCAGAAATAGAAGGCGTTCTCGAAGTCCAGCTTCTTCTCCCAGATGGGGAGGATGGCGGCCACACAGGAAATGTAGGCGAACACAAGGAGGGCGATGACCGGGAGGGGCATGTCCAGCTTCTCCACCTGCCGTCCCACCTGGTCCAGACTGCTGATGACCGAGTAGGAGAGTCTTCCTGACACCAGCTCGGGACACGAGTTAGTCCTCTGTACGGCCCGCGGGGGCGGGTGCAGCGTGTTCCGCTTCTCTCGTGCAAGAAGTCTCTCGAACAGATCTGTGTTGCTGCTTGGGGTGGACGGACACGGGCCGGGTTTGGGGCCCGGAAGCTCTTGGGCATCTCTGACAATCCTTGGGACAGCCTCGCCCGCGGGCATGGTGGCCAGCTTTCTGCAGAGCAGGCGGGAGCACCAGTAAGGGGAGGGGAGGTGGGAAGAATGGGAGTTTTTGGAACCGATGGTAAGACGTGGACAGGATGGTGGCCAGGATGTCACCCATGTCCGTGAGGACTAGGAACATCAGGGGGATGCCAAAGAGGGCGTAGAGCATGCACAAGTATTTGCCGAGCCTGGTGACCGGGTAGATGTGACCATAACCTGAAAAAAAGGACAGAGCCCAGGGTGGTTGTCTGCTCTCCACCCCCCCCCCCCCCCCCCCCCCCCCCGCTGAAAAGAGCTTTAAAGAGACCTCTGTCATTTCTCCTCCCTGGTATGACAGTTTACAGTGTTTGAAAATATTCAGCTTAAAGCATTCATCCGCCATCTGGCCTTGGGCTCGCTTTGGTAGGAGGAGCGACAGGTGAAACTCAGCTTCTCTTTAGGATAAGGAGCAATTCATGTCCAGATCTTTGGCCCAAGATGTCCTTGGCAGGGGACAAGCATGTCTGGGAGTGAGCTGATCGCTTTTCATTTTGCTGCGGCCATATCTAAGCATCCACATGGCAGGACGAATGCAGCGGAGAGGCCGTGGACAGCTTCGCCATCAGACCCACCTCCTCCTTCATCCTCCACGAAAGCACCTGTTGTTAAGAAGCCACTCTCGTCCTCCCCAGGATGTCCGGCCCTCCGTTTCTTTGTTCCTCTAGAACGGGCTATTAGTATTTGCCAACAGTGTACAGCAGTGTGCACAGCATGTGGGGCAGTGGAAGGATGGAAGGAATGAAATACAGTTGCTGCCCTCAGAGCCACTGTGGTTTAGTAGATTAGACAAACCCGTTCACAAATGCTAGTGAAGTGGTGAGGATCCCAGCATCTAGAATCTTACCAACCTGAGTTCGAATCCCAGCTCTGCCATTTGCTAGAATGTTACTGGACTTTGGCTCACATTTTCAAGTTTCTTGTCTGTAAGATAGGGATGACCATCCTTGCTTGGTATACTGACCAGCTGGAAGAATTACGTGAGCCCAGGGACTGACCCATAGTGGGCAGCTGAGAAATGTTGGCAGCCCTGTCCTCTAGCTGAGAATAGCCGCTGGTCATGCTTACTGTGGGCTGGTATCGACCCACCAGCAGAGGTAGACATCGTTAGCACCATTCACAGGTGGGGAAACTGAGGCTTGGAAAAATGGAGCAACCTGGCCAAGAGCATTCAGTGACCAAGAGTGGAGTTGGCAGCCAAACCCCTAGACCCGCCCAGCTGCCACACCAGCACTCATCCCCACTGGGCCAGGAGCACCTAAGGGCATGGAACCTGGCAACCCTTACGAACCAGTCAGCCAAGCAAAGGGAGGGGTGGGCTGTGGCTTCCGTGCTCTTCAGGAGCCCCCCATCCTTCCACCACCCCAGGCCCGACCCTCCTGTGCACAGCAGGGCAGGAGCAGAGCGGTGTCAAACCCCATAGCCCAGGTAGGTGGATCTTCTGGAGTGAGCGAGCTCAGTGACTTCAACAAAGTGAGGGAAAAGCTTTTGTATTAAATGCCTGTGTTTAATTTACGGCGTCATAAAGGATGATTAATACAGGAAGACCTAGGCCAATTGTGTAAATTGATTGGAAGGCACTTGCTAGGCTGGCTAAGCCCCAGCCTCCCCCAGGGCTCTAGCTCCCTGTGGCCGACTCTGGCCTCAGGCTCTGCCTTCCAGGAGCACACACGTGTTCAAGTTGCCCACCCTCACCAGGGTCCTGGGAGAGGGCTGGGGATCTCAAAGGGTCTAATCCGTTGGCATCCGCCACAAAGCACTCCACACCACCCTTGGCTGACTCCACAAGGCACCATTTGGTGGCAGGGGCAGTTAAATCTGAATGTACATCCATAGCATATGTGCATATTGAGCGCTCACTGCATGTGCTGGGGACACAGTGGTGAGGTACCCAACCTTGCTGAGCTTCTGGTTTAGGGGGAGAGGCAGGTATGAATCAAACAACCACACTAGTGAGTATGCTATGGCAGATGGAGATCAATAGCAGGACATAAAAGAGCAGACTGTTCCAAGAGCAATTAGAACAAAGGCGCCCATCCTGGATTTGCATTTATTGAGCACCTACCTTATGCCAGGCACTTGTGGGTGGGCTTGGGGGTACAACGAGAAACAGGCACAAACCCTGCCCTCTAGGACTCCTAGTTGAGAATGAAGCAAGGCCTTGAGCTTAGTTCTCCACCACCAGCAGGATGTGACGAGGACCTGACAGGTGTATGTATGTCCCAGGGGACAGGAATGGGGGCCGCATTGCTTAACCCTCCCATTAGAAACCCAGGCTTGTTCCATGGGGCAGGACTTGTTGAGACAGTGCCAAGGCCTCCAAATGCCTCTGTTTCCCCTCCCTGTTCCATGAGGGTCACTAGCAGCTCTGGTCCTCCCCTCTAGGAGAGGAGGTTGCAGAAGTGGCCTCAGCGCCTTGTCCAGGGTTCAATAAAAGCCCAGAAGCACTGAGGCAACGAAGGTGGGGGTGGGGACTTAAAGGGGAAGGTGGAGAAGAGGAACAGAGGTGGGCCATGGTGGGCTGACCACCTGCCCAGTTTGCCTAGGGCTGAGGGGTTTCCCAGAACACCCTATTTTCTGTGCTAAAACTGTGGCAGTCCCAGGCAAACCGGGCAGGTGGTCACTCCAGCCATGAAGAAAGGTGTGGAAAGAGTCTCTGGAGCAGGGAAGATGAGGGAAGAGGGCACCTGGAGCCTCTACTGGAGGGGCAGGAGCTCAGAGAGGCCTGGCCACGGAGTCCTGGTAGAGCCCAGGCCCTGAGTGTCAGCAAAGATTCTTGTGCCAAAGCTTGTCATGGGCCCCACACAGCCATCAGTCCTTAGGATGTCAGCAACAGCCATGAGGGCCCAGAGATGGGGACCACCCCGTTTTCTAGATGGTGGATGAGCCCCCTGGGTTCCTGTGCACCCCCAGCGAGTCAGGAGAGGCTCCACAGTAGAAACCTCTCAGCTTCCAGGAGAGGGTCCCAGGGTCAGATCTATTTTAAAGAAAAGAACATCCCATTTCTAGGACAAAGTGTCTTTTAGAGTGAAAATTCCCTGCATAGCGAAATCCCTAATGCCTGCAACCACCATTATTACCGCATTTAATGGACAAGGAACAGGGAAGTCAGGTGACCTGTCTGGGGTGGCGCAGCTCAAAGCCGACAAGGGTGTGCACCCCTTACCTGAAGACTTCCCCTGTCCACCTGCCACCCCAGTGTTCTCCTTGGCAAAGGTGAATTTAGTGGATTTAAACTAGAGGTGACTGCCTCTAGGTAGAACATGTTTAGAGTCCAGGAGATATGCCATATTCCAGAAAATGCACCAAGGAAGCAAATCTCAGAGAGCACATGGCCCCTGTGAAGGAAATTGTATTAACTGTACCAACTACTGAACGCTGAAATGCATAATGGAAAATCCTATCATTTCTTATAACGTATTCATATATTCCAATACGGTCGGTCAATCCACTCCACTTAGGCTGTGAGTATTTAATAGTCCATGCACTTTACTTTCTTTCTTTCTTTCTTTTTTTTTTTTTTAAGTAGGCTCCATGCTGGGCATAGAGCCCCCCCACCCCCCGCAACGTGGGGCTTGAACTCATGACCCTGAGATCGAGAGTCCGAGGCTCAACCGACTGAGCCACCCAGGCGCCCCCACGCGCTTTACTTTCTCATCCAGGGGGACCGCCCCAATTGGAAATGACTGGGGATTGACCAACCTCACACCTGCCAGGTGTCCCTTTTTCAACATCAAGGCCAGGTACACTAAGGGTGACCCAGAGATGTAGGGCAGGAAGCATTTCCAACACTGCTATTGATTACACGCAGTGGAGAACCTCCCCAATATCCTTTTCCAGTTGTAATTACTGGACGGCATGATATCCTAATTGATTTGATAGGAGCATCGCTTTCTTGGGATTTGAACCAAGATAATGCATTTCCATTAGATCAGTGGTTCACAGCCTGGACTCCCATTAGAATCACCTGGAGGGCTCTGAAAAATACTGAGGCCTGGGTTTGTCCCTAGAGACTCTGACTTGATTGCCACGGGGTCCAGGCTTGGGACCTTATAAAAGATAGCCAGACGATTGCAATGTGCCGCCAGGACTGAGGACCCTCGCACAGGGTCAGTGTTTCGAAAACGTTAGCGTGCATCAGCATAACCTGGAGAACTTGTTAAATACAGATGTCTGGGCCCCACATCCATAGTTTGTGGCTCAGTAGGTCTAGGATGGGGCCTGAGAATTCATTCTCATTTCTAACAAGTTCTCAGGTGATGCTCATGCATGCTAATGGGTCCAGGGACCACTGCATTAGATCAGTTCTCAACGGGGACGGTTTGCACCCCCCCCCAGGGGACATTTGGCAATATGGAGACAGCAGGGGAAGAGGTGGGGGCATCGGGTGGGTAGAGGCCAGGGATGCTGCTAATCATCCCACAATGCACAGGACAGCCCCCACCACAAAGAATCATCTAGCTCCAGCTGCCCACAGCGCCAGCCCAGAAAGCCTGCGTTAGATTAATCCCCAGAAGTTCTGGAGCAAAAGGAAAACAAACTGAACCCCTTTGCTCATCTCCACTATTTTCCTTGGGGCTACCGTTTCCCCGGCACGGTTGCTCCACTGAGCTGCGGGTTTCCCTGGAAAGGCCAGCTGCGCCCTGCCCCTGCCTTGCTGGCTGTGACCTCCCTCTCCAGAGCCTCAGCTCTCTGCTAAAGGCCACAGCGCCTACCCCACAGGACTGTCGTGTCATGAGGATTAGATAAGATCATGCATGTAAAGGCTGTGCGCGCCATGCCCAGTGCTGGCAACAGCTCGGTACTGCAGTAGGTAGTAGTATTCTTTCTGCGGGTTACCCTTACCTCCCCGCGGGTAGCAGCGACGGAGGGGAAGAGACCGGCTCCGAAAGAAGCCACATGGGGGCGCTCTTGGACACAAACACGGGCCCGTTCGTGAAGCCCGTTGCCACAGACTCTGGTTGTTCCCCCGGCAACCGTTCCTTCCTCTTTCCTGGGGTACCCCTGCTCCCCCACCTGCTCTAGGGATAGAGCCGACCGTTCTAAGTCATTCTGGTGATCTAATCTCTTTGCCAGGACTGGCTTGGGGCTGGGAGGTTTCCATGCTGGTGGTGATGGCCATCCCTTTGTCTACCAGATGCAGTGAAGCCCCAGCGGGAGTGGACATTGGTGACATGCTGAGCAGGATGGGAGAGAACCTGACGCTCAATGCCACGGCTGAGCTGCACACGGACCAGCCCCAGGGCTGTCTCCACCGGACTCCTTACTCCGGAGGGAACACGTTTTCCTTGCAGTTTAAGCCAGTTGGGTTGGATTTTCCGTTAGTGGCAGCTGAGAGGATCCTGGCTGCCACTTACATTTATCCTCACACTGATCTGAAAGGCAGGACTGGGAGGCGTTACAGATGAGGGGACGAGGCTCAGAAGGGACACATTGCTCCCTGATGCTCACACCACTGACCCAAGGTGGCCAGCCTCCAGAGTCCACAGCTAACCAGTGTGCGCCACCCCCCCCCGTGGGAAGGAGCCTCAGCACAAGCACCCAGGCATGGCCGGGGCTCTGTGACCCTTGTTGGCCCATCCCTCTCAGGGACTGGTACTCTCCTGAATGAAGACAGGGCCCCAGGCCTTTTCCCTGGCCAAGAGGGGCTGGGGCTGAGCCACGGGCCCCACTCCCGGTGGGGATGCTGACCCAGGAGCTCCCGAGCCTTGGCGGAGGGCGGTCTCACCACCTCCACCCCTGTGACCCCCATCCCCAGCAGGGGACACTCCTGCCAGCCCTGGCATGGCCCCTCCGACCTGGCCCATCCTGCTGCACCGCCGCGGAGGGAAGCCAGGGGCTCTTAGTCACTCGAGCATCCTCAGAGGCAGGCCCAGCGACACAACGCCCAAGTGCAAGAACAGCCCCAGCCCCCCAGCTCAGGAGGCTACTGCTCCTGCCATGTCCCCCCACTCCTGTCCGCTCTCTGTTCGGTCACCCAGGAGCCCACACCTCATGTGGCCCCTGAGAAGAGGATCTGGGGCCCCTTTAAATGAGCAAGTGGCCACTGCAGGGGGCAGCTGTGCCCCACACCCTCCACTCTACCCTGGGCTCTGGAAGGGCTGCCCTGGGCCAGTGACTTGCACGTAAGGGATCTTTGCTTTCTTTGGGGGCTGAAGACACATGTAAAGGAAGGGCAGGGAACGGGGTCAGGCTGGCTCCTTCTCTCCAAGTGCCTTTCCTTCCAGGCACTGGCATCAACTCCAGCCAGACACAAGGTCTCTCTGGAAATCGGAGCTGCCCCTGCCCCCCAGGCACAGGCAGGCTCTCCCTGGGGCTCCCTGGGCAGGGCTGGGCAGGGTCCCTGCAGCACCCCACAGATCTGCAAGGCTGGCAGGCTACTCTGGGGAAAGAGCACTGGACTTGAAGTCTCAAGGCCTATTCATGGGCACCAGCTCTACTCACTGTGTGCCCTTGGCCCCTGGCAGCACCTCTCTGGGCTCAGGCTCCCCCACCTGATCCATAAAACCTCGCTGAGCTTTAAAGGAGGCAGCTTAGTACAGCCCCGGGGGGTGACTGTTGGCACCCACTACCCCCGCAGTCCTTCCTCCCTCCACCTCACTGTTAGTGCTCCTAGTCCTGCGCTCGCCCACCGGCCCTCCCCACACCACACCCCCACTTCGTTGCTCCCCTCCGTTCCCTGGGAGTCAATTGCCATCTATATGCTGGTGACTCTGAAACTCAGCTCCGCAGCCCTGCCCAGGGCCCTGAGCCCCAGACCCACATTTCCAGCAGTGCTGGGTGTCTCCCCTCGGAAGCTCCACTGGAGCCTTGACCTTGACTGGCCCTGAATCATCACTTCCATCCCCCGGCCCAGCATCCTCACCACCCTCCCCGCAACCTGCCGGTCCCATCCAGCAAAGCTAGAGCCTGCGGTGCCTTCCTCATCCCCCAGGTATCCAACCACTGCAGACTTTCCTACAGCCTTCCTCCAATCCACCCCTCTTCTCCGTCCTCATGACCATGGTCCTGGATGAGGCCATTGCCATCATCACTCACATAGGCTGCCACAGAAGCCCCCCTAGCGCTCTCCCTGCTGCCAGTCTTACCCTCTCTGATCCCTCCCCCCATGCTACAGCTGGGCTGATCCTTCTGGAACAGTGAGCTACCGTGTTCTTCCCTTGCTTAAAACCCTCTAGACATTCCCCACCGCCCTCAGGATGAACCCAACCTCTTTGCCCAGCCTGCACGGCCTTCCCGTGGACTGGCCCCTCCTCTCCCTCCCACCCCTTGTCACCCCTAATTAACCTTACAGTGCCTGCCACTCCTTCTGCTACTGGGCCTTTGTCTGCACGCCCACCTTCCCCCACACTGGTGACTCCTGCTCTCCTTGCCTGACTCAGCATGGCCGGCATCCCCTCCCGGGAGCCTTTAAAATGTTCTTACCACTTCAGTCTTGCCTCTTGGACCACCCCCAAGCCTGGGACAGCTGCCCCTACTCTGCGCTCCCATGATACCCCGAATACTTCGCGTGCTAACCACATTCGATGCCTGGGAGTCCACGCTGGCAGGCATCACTGGCGAGAGGTTGTCGTAGGAGAACATTCAGCCAAGGGGCAGGAGGGGGCTGAAAGGCATCCCCTGCCTTGCTCCCTGGGGCCTCCACCCGGGCAAGGGGCTGCACCCACCAGGAGAAGGGTACTCTTTCCAAATTCCCACCAGCAGGAGCCCCCACCTTAGAAGCCAGCACAGCCCTGCTCACCGGCATGGTGGACCCCACACAGAGGCAGCCCCCCATCACCATTTCTTGACCTAGTGAACCGAACATTCCACCTCCCCACCGAGGGGCCCCAGCCTCCCCCTTCTCCCTCTCGCTCCGCCACGTCTCTCTCCCAGACCTGCCTTTGCCCTCGGACTTACCCACAGTGCTGATCACCGTGCAGCAGAAAAAGAGTGAGCTCAGGAAGGACCAGTCTGCAAACCTGCTAAACCAGTGGGGCTTCACCTTCTGCAGCAGCGCCCCGAGGTCCTGTTTCCTGCCTTCCTCAACTGGGGAAAGAGGGGACCAGAGTGAGGCAGAGGGTTTTGCTCCAGACAGGTCCCACCACACGCAGGGGTCTTCCCCAGGGACCAGCACGCCCCCTGCCTTGTGGCCCCTTAACGCCAAACCTGGTTCTGCTTTTGCTGTCTCTGCACTTAGTTCCTGCATTTAGTGCCTTCGGAGATGACAAGGCCACACCCCCCCCCATGAGAGGATCCCCCCAGGGAGAGGCCCATGGGTCCGGCCCAAGCTCAGCCACAGGATTGCTGTGTGGCCTGAGGGGGCTTCCTGAAACTTCTGAGCCTCCAACTCTTTTGCTTTGCAAAGGGGCATTCTACTTCGGCTCAGTCTCTCTCACAGGGTTCTTGAGAATTGAAAGCAAAATGGGTCTCATGAAATGCAAGCTCTTATATGGATACAAACCATCCCCACTCCTGGAGGTCATTACGCCTGATGGCATTTGGTACTCATACTGGGATCTGTGGGCACCAAGGTGCCTGAGGATTTCTGGGAAGCCTTGACTTTCACAACATCTGACCCAGGGCCAACAGAGCAGGACTGCGGCCCTGGTTCCTCAGGGAAGTTCCCAAATATTTCTGTTGGCCTGGGTGGCCAATGGGCTTTAGGACCCCAGAACAATCTTGGGACTCTGGCACGCAGCAGGAAGTCAGTACTTATGTGAAAGGGTGCTGACCTGGGAGTCCAGACATCCTAGACCGGGCTCTGACCCTGAGTAGCTCCCGCAGCCGTGGATAAGATGCTTCTTTCTGAGCCTGTTTCCCCACCAGGGAAGCAGCATGACGTGGCTGTGGAGTCCAAATGCCTGGGGTGGAATCCTTGGCTCCACTTTGTAGTTTGTGACCTTGGCCAGTTGCTTAACTCCCAGAGCCTCTGTTTCCTAATCTGTGAAAGGGGTCAATTCATACAGGCCCCTGGGGTTGGCGTGAGGATTAAGTGGGATAACAGAGGAACGTGTTCAGCACAGGGTCTGCGCTTACTGAGCATCTTAATCTCCAACAAAAATCAGTTCAAAATGGGGTTGGAGGGGTGCCTGGCTGGCTCAGTCAGAAGAGCATGCGCCTCTTGATCTCAGGGCCATGAGTTCGAGCCCCAAGTTGGGTGTAGAGATTATTTAAAAAACAAAAACAAAATGGGGTTTGGACCAGTGCTAAATTCCCCTTGTATTCTGTGTGTCAGAATCTTTAGAAACTTTAGAAATAAGATTCCCAACCCAGCTCTGGAAATCCTGATTTAGTGGGTTTGGAGAAGAGCCTGGAAATGTGTATTTCAGACAAGCTCCCTGGATGATTCTGATGTGTGGCCAGGGTTGAGAAGCTCTGAACTTGTCACCATCAGAGCCAGGGGTGGCTCAGAGTCCAGGAGGTGGCGGCGGCAGAGGACATCTCCTGGGTCAGCCGAGCAGGCGTTCTCCACCGAAAACTCCTCAAACTCCGGGTCTTTTGGCCCCAGGTTCTGGCCGCCCTCAATGGCCGAGAAGAGGACGGCACCCAGCAGCGCGTAGGTCACCTGTCTAGGACAGACGCGGACAGAAGGAGTAGGAGCCTCCAGGGAGGAGAGACTGCCTCCTGTGACCAGCCTCCTGTTGGCCTCAGCTGAAAGAACCTGCTCGGAAGCAAGGTCAGGCCCATGGAAGGAGCTGTGAGCAGCCCCAGCTGAGGACCTACCTGTCACACCAGGGACATCCTTCCCCTCACTTGTGGAGGCTGTTTTTCCTTTGTCTTTTATGTATTAACTCTCTATATTTTTATTCTGGTCTGTTAAATACATATTTGCAAGCTTTGGGGAATAAGGCAGAGCAGTAATAAGTGACTAAAGACAAATGAAATGCAGTAAGGAGATAGGTAAAGAGCCTGTGCCTTTCAAGAGGTTTCATGTGTTTATCTGCTTCCCACAGGGTCCCTGTGATTGGCAGGCCTGAGACTGGGGGCCCCCACCGTCCAGCACACTGAGACCCAGAGAGGGCAGCAGCTCTACCTCAGATCACACAGCAAGTTGGGGGAGCAACCGGGACTGAAACCGGGCCCCCAAGTTACCAATTCCCTTCCCCTGAGTCTGACGGTAGAAAAGGCCATTGGGAACAGGAAATGGGAGAGAAGGGGGCCAGGCTGCTCCTCCGAGGGGACCAAGCCCAGTTTAATTGTCCCTTGAATCCTACTTCCTGTAAACTGAGTCATGGGGCCAGGCAGGCATAATTCGGAGGACCAGCCTAGGAGCCCCCAGCCTCAAATCTACTCACCCATGTCCCCCAACCAACCTCATCAAATCTCCGGCAATCCATCCTCCTTGGAGCCTGCTGGTCTGGGTGGGGCTGGGAACCGAGGCGAAGGGAAGGGAGTGGGTCCTTCTAGAGCATGTACTTGTTGCTCAGTGCTTTCCCTACATTCTTCATAGCGACACTAACAGGCTGCTGTTCTCCCTATTTTATGGAGGCGAAAACTGAGGCTCAGAGAGAAGTGGTTTGCCTGAGGTCCCACACAGAGATGGGGAGGATACAAGCTGAGGGCTCCCGGACCCCCCCTCCCCCCAGCCTCCTGCAAGACAGCCCTCTGCTCTCCTAGAGCTGCCTCCACCCACAGAGAAAGGGCCCACCCCACCCAGGGGAGCCCCCTACCTGTTCTGTTGCATTTCGAGATGCCACAGAGCTCCACCAAGAACTCCTCAAACTCCGGGTCTTTTGGCCCCAGGTTCTGGCCGCCCTCAATGGCCAAGAAGAGGACGGCACCCAGCAGCGCGTAGGTCACCAGGGAGCAGAGGAAGCCGAGGCGGGGGGAAAAGCTTCTCCAGGGCCTCCCGAAAGCACCTCTGGGCCGGGGGTGGCCCTGCAGCCTCCATCCTCCCAGGAGCACTCAGAACAGGAGGAACTGGTGGAAGAGGCGGGAGCAGGCCCCAGCTGGAGGAGGAGGAAGGACAGGGGAGGAATGGGAGTGCCCAGAGAATGGCGAGGCTCCAGCACTAAGTGGATGGTGCGGGTGCTTCCCCAAGGACTGGGAAGCAGCCGGTTCTCATCACGTTCAGTTACTTAGATGGTGCCCCCCTAGCACCCCAAATTGCTATTGATCCACCGGCCAGGAGCTGTCCTGCAGGGGCTCTGGGTAGATGCTGTGGGGGTGGCTTTGTGCTTTGGACTTTCCCATCTGGCAGCTGCAATTTTGACTTCCAGTTACCAAATTTGACTTTTGTCCTTCCTGAGGGTTGTCTGTGGTACCTGGTTTCTTGGACTGGTACTAATAATAGCAATGGCCATGGCCGGAGCTCGACAGTCTATGACATTTATCCTGTATGGATCAAATTATCGGTCCTAATTCTTCACTCCCCTGTAGCATAGCCCCCCCTTGCCACCGCCTTAAGGTGGGCAGAGCTAGACCACGTGATTTGCTCTAACCAATCGGCCGTTAGCAGACATGACATAAGCAGGGGCTTGAAATGTCTGTCCCCTGTGCCCTATCTCCACCACAAGAAAAACATGGCCAGCCACAGGCACGGGGTTGTGGGCACATTTGGATCCCCCTTCATAAAAGGATCCTCTGCGCAGCTTCAAGGAACACGGTTCAGGACAGCTTCCAGCTATTCATCCCTTCAGGGTGTGCCTCAACTTTCAAGCCCTCTTCTCTGGGAAGCCCTGTGCAATGACTGAGCAAGGTGGGGGTTCAAGAGATTCCCTATGTCTGCCTCACCCCCAGGGACTCCTCCAACCTGCAACCTATGTTCCAGAACTCCCTGTTGGTCTGCCAGGGATTTTATCAGCTCTGCATCATGATCGGAAAGCTTTCTCTGTCCCATCCTGCATCCCAGTACAGGTTTTGCAGTTCTTACCCTAGATCTCCATGTCTGCTTCGCAGAGGATCCAACCTGTGGTAGTTGACACCAAAAGCGTCCTGGGAGAGCAGACTCTAGGATGGGGGTTTGGAACTGGGTTGACCAATACCCAGCTGGTGGGGAGATGGTGGACAGAGAGCTCTTGGTTCAAGATGGCCTTCCAGTTGATAAACTTCTCCCAGTGGTGACTGGGATGGTGTGCCGGTGGAAGGTGTTGACCAGTACAACAATTCAGGCATTGAAAACATATTGGAGAAATGATAAATGTAAGGACAATGAGTTTGGATGATTACCATGAAGTTACATCGATCCCCTGAAGGCAAACTTAGAAGAGGGAGGTTAGTAGGACAGACCACAGCCTCTGCTGCAGTTGGCCTCAGGGCTGCAACTGATACTCATCATTCCCTTCCTGCACTACCCAATCTAAATTCCCCTTGCCCTCTGCCAACTCTTCTATTGTCTCAATGGCTTACCCCATGGCACGAGCCAAATCCTCATTCCTGGGGGGTCTGAGTCCATGGTAACCATATCCTCTTCAGGTTGGAGTTGCTTATGTTGTTCATAGACACAGTTGGGTAAGAAGTACCAAGACGTACCCACGTGGGTCACCTGAGTTACACTCCTATTCCTTTCAGCCCCCATTGTGTGAAAGCAGCCCTACCTCCTTCCGTTGACAAGGCAATTGCCCTCGACAAGATGATTACCCCTTCTCTTGCTTTCTGGCTCCTGATTATGAAGATCCTAAAGTGCCCAGGCAGCAGCCACAGGGTGCAGTTCAATGGGCCCCTTACTAGGTTTCCTGGTGAATGTGTCCCCCTTGGGGATCAGGATCTCTACAGAGCCCAGAGTTGTGGGGATGGAAGACAGTAAAGGAATATGATCATGTAATTCTCAGTTTGAAATGGAAAGCAACCAATGCTTCACTGCTTCTTTACAGTCCTGAAGAACGAGAATATCTCCAAGCCTAGAACAAGCCAACAGTCTGCATCCCCACCCCCACCCTTACATCTGTATCCAGCCTCCTAGATGAGGTCAAGTTTAAGAACTCTTTGCCTAGCCCTAGATCCCCAAGATTTTCTTCTGTTTTCTTCTAAAAGTTTTATAGTTTTTCTGCTTATATTTAAGTCCGTGATCCAGTTGGTTAATTTTTGCAAAACGTGTCACCCTTAGGTCAAGGTTCATTTTTTTGCCTATGGATACTCAATTGCTCCAGTGCCACTTAATAGATAGAAAAGTCTACCGTCACTCCATTGGATTGTTTTTTCACCTTTATGAAAAGTCTGTTGAGTGAATTTATGTAAATCTACTTCTGGGTTCTTGATTCTGGTCCACTGATCCAATGTCTCTCCTTCCACTAATACCATACTGTCTGGTTACTACAGCTGTGTAGTAGGCCTTAATATCAGGTGGAGTGATTTCTCCTACCTTATTTTTCTTTTTCAAGATTGTTTGAGCTATTTAAAGGACCTTCTATATAAGTTTTAAAATAATCACATCTATGTCTACATAAAACCTAGCTGGGATTTTGCTAGGAACTGCATTAAACCCACAGACCAATGGGAAGACACTTGACATCTTTACTGTGTTCAGCCTTCCTGTCCACAAACATGGGATGTCTCTCCCGGCTGTTACTTTTGAACAACACCTTAGTTTGCTCCCATTGTTCTTTACTCAAGCCAAGAATCAACATTTTAAGATAAGAATGCATGAGTCATTTGTTATTAAGTGCTACTTACTGTGCTTGGGGGCATTGTTACTAAGTGAAAATATTAGATGGTGGAGGTCAGAGAGTGTATTTGCATTATCTTTTTAAGGACTTTTTTTTCTTTTAATACATAATTCAAGCATCTAGAATACTATAAAAAATAACGTAACAAGGGTGCCTGGGTGGCTCAGTCGGTTAAGCAGCTGCCTTCGGCTCAGAGTCCTGGGATTGAGCCCCACATTGGGCTCTCTGCTCAACGGGGAGCCTGCTTCTCCCTCTCCCTCTGTCTGCCACTCCCCCTGTTTGTGCTCTTTCTCTCTGTCAAATAAATAAATAAATAAATAAATAAAGTGTTTAAAAAAATAACATAACAAGCGCCATGTACCCATTACCCCTGATGCCATGCACCATCTGGAGGGAGATAGGGAGCTGGGTAGAGAAAGACCCTGTGATAGAACACGAACTGGAGTCAGGTGAGCTCCGGCCTGTTAGCCACAAGATCTAGCTGGATATGATTCAACGTTATGGTTTTTATCAGTATAAGGAGTTATCCACCCACATTTGGGCCAGTGGGATAGTGGTGGCAGGAATAGGTGACACCCCACAAGAGAAGGGACTCTTGTGGATAAAGGCAGGCCATGAGATCCAGTCACCCCTCCCCACCTCTGAGAAGACCCAAGTTTCCTTCATTTTTAGGAGAGGGGAATTTTTCTGCTTCCTATATATTATCTAGCCCCTTTTCCTAGAGAGGAAGGGACACAGATGAGCAAGAGACCTCTTCTTGCTGAAGTCTAAATCCCTCTGCTAATGAGGCATCAGATGGACTTCAGTCAACTAGCCAAAAAAGCACTTCCTGGGAGCCCACTAGAGGCCAGATGATGTGAGGCCAACAAAGGTCCCCACCACCCATGGAAAGAGAGGTTGCAGATAGATGGATTCATTCACTTCAATATAATGAGGGATGAATTAGGAAGTGAGATGCAAACACCCTGTGGCTTATGGAGGCAGAAGAAAGAGGAATGCTGGGAGATCAAGCAGCCTAAGGCAGCCACATGGAAGAGAAGAGCTCAAAAGATGTCCAAGGAGAAGGAAAATAATGGCCAGCTGAGAGCAGATCCATGGTCATAGGTCTGACTGAGGTAAAATTTTCTAGTTCTGGAGGTGGGGGTGGGTGGAAATACAGCAAAGGTTTTTGTTCCTCTAAATGAGGAGCGGTTTTGTTGAGAACACAGGAACTCAAGGTACAGATAAAACAAAATCAAGGTTTAAGGCTGCCTCCTGGTCTCCTGAGACTCAGTAGGGTACCTCACCTCAGGTGAGACAGTGGAGAAGGGGGATGGTGCTATTCCAGCAGCCAAGGACGAGTCCTTCTAATCCAGGCAGAGTTGGAAGAGCATCACCCAGGCTGGCTTCCTCTGGTGGAGGAGCAGCAGTGTTGGCCCCGGGCGAACTCTCGCACCACAGCGTGCCCTGGAAGGAGACATGGCGCCATGCTTTCTGCCCATGGGTGTGTGTGTATGTGTGTGTGTTTCTGTTTCTCTCTCTTGAGAGAGGACAAGCACGGTGGGTGGGCTGGGCTTCTCAGTCACAATGAACCCACCAATTTTTTAAAAAATAATGAGGAGCCAATTACACTCCTACATTAAACATGGCATTGGTTCCACAAAATCAAATTGCTGTGTTACAATCAAGCTGTACAATCCACTTTATACTTACTACCTACAGTCTTAACCACTTAAGGGAGTGTGTGGGAACTGAAGAAAGAAGGTCTTAATACAAACAGGTTGGTGGAGAGAAGGCAGGGAGGTGGGGGTGGGGTGTACAAACCAGGCCTCCAAAGCTTGTTTGCTTTATCCAGCCCACATGTGCCAGCCTAGGTGGGCACCTCTCAGGTCGGGTCTCCATCTCCGGTCCAGTAGGCTTTGCCCTGGGCCGAGGGCCCTGTGGCCTGCCATCTGCAGGTCAGGCTTATGGGGAAGGGGTGATTCCTTCAGAGAGAGCTGGACCTGCAGACCAAAGAAGAAGATCGAATGTGAGCGCTGTCACTGATCCAAAACCTGCCTAGAGATCACCATTCCCTACTGGGCAGTCACCTGTGTCCTTGATGGGGTGAAGGCAAAGTTGCTTGAACTATATACAGTGCTTTAAAAAAAAAAAAAAAAAAAAAAAAAGGAGGCATATTGATCTCTTACATAACAGTCCAAAAGCAAGATTTGCACATTGCTGGGGCAGCCCTGCTCCATCCTGACACTAAGTAGCCGGGGTCTTTCCATCTTGTTGTTCTGCTTTACCCTAGAGCAGCAGTTTTCAA